AAATGGCATTTCTGCATGCTTCCACTTGTTATCCTGGGGCAGAGGTTATCACTCCTCTCTGGTTCTCAGATTTCTCCTGTGGGCATTGAGTCCTACTTTCTGAAATTGTGGGGATGAAATGAGATTAAAGGGTTGGTCCACAAAGCTTCCCCATAAATATTTGTTTGCTTTCATTCTTTTCACTTACATGTGCAGAACACTTCATACATTTATAAAAAAATACTTTTTATACTTTTAGTCAATTGATTTGTACAATAATAATGTTAAATAAATGAGATAAAGATTAATAATCACATTTTCAGGCAAAGAGCATGGTGTCCAAAAGGGAGCAGGGGTAAGTAAGTCACCCAGCGAGTTAATGTGGAGCTTAGACTAGGAGCTAGGTCACTTGCATTAAGGATCTGAAGGTCTGTTCATGTTTTGGGTGTCTCCATCTTATGGATGGAATAGCAAAAGATAGAGGTGTGACCCTGATGCTGTTTTCCTCCTCTGGGCTATGCGTAAGAGTTCATTATTGGGCTTTGGAAGGCCAGAGTTTGATTTCCAGCTCCTTTATGTGTAGTTCGGAGACATTGGCCAAGTCACTTAACCTCCTTGAAGACCACTTTTCTCATCTCTAAAACGGATACAATCAGAGCTAACATTTAAAAAATATATTTTTATTGATTTCAGAGAAGAAGGGAAAGGAAGAGAGAAACATCAATGATGAGAGAGAGAATCATTGATTGGCTGCTTCCTGTATGCCCCACATTGTGGACCAAGCCCACAACCAGGCATATACCCCAACTGGGGATTGAACCGAGATTTCTCTATTCATAGGTCAATGCTCAACCACTGAACACATTGGCTGGGCCAGAACTAACATTTATTGAACAATGACATGTGCTAGGCACTGTTCTAAGTACATAATATGGATTATGCCACAAGATCCTCTAACATTCATCTGAAACATGTTACATGTAAACACAAATGATTTTCACCTAGCACCAAGATCATGAAGCATGTGCTCTTTATTTCTGCTTCATATTGTCTCTCAAAATGGCTGTGAGAATGAAATATCAAGTGAGGTAAGACTTTCTACCCAATGAAGAATTAGAAGTGGAACTTGGCACTGATCTTCATTATTCATGTGAAAGGTTTCTTTATATACACAATTGAGTCTTAGATAATACAGTTTCATTTAATAATTTTAATAAAGAAGTCTTTCAAAATCAAAGTGTAACTATTATTTTATCCAAACGAAGCACAAAAAATTTTGGAATAATTTTTTGAAACATAGGCACCTGTGTATTGACCGTCAATTTTTATCAATTACAAAATTATCCACCAAAAATCAGACTGGAAGACAATTTTCAGGTTTAATCAGAATCTATTCCTCCATTCAGGAACTTTCTAGGATCGTATACCCATCTCTCCCCAACCCCCTTTCAATACCTTCACCTCATGCCACTGTCATGGAACCCCACTGTCCTTGTTAGTGGAAAGAATAGATCACACTGAAGTGTTGAAACAGAATGCCATCCCTTGAGCTGGGAGAATACATTCCCAACAGCTTTGGAGTCAGCTCTCCATTGCTGTGATCTCTGGGGCTCTACGAATTCTCACGATCTGGATCTTCTCCTCCTGTCTCTCTGTGGGAAAAGAAAACACAGTCTCATTGGTTCTACCCTTCTAATTTCTGGAGAAACAAGCACAGAGCCTCTCAGGGGTCTTCTCAGGAGTTTTAGTGATAACCCTATAAGGAAAAAGAATGGAGGTGACAAACTCTGGGAAAGTTTAAAGACATATGAAATTAAAAAAATCTCAAAACAAATATTCTTCCTAATTACAAAAGGGGCTTGGTTGGTCTCTCTTCTTTGGCTTCTAGTTTAACTCAGCTCTTTCTTATCTCCCTCCTCCCTCCTTTCTTATCTTGACATGAGCTAAACCTAAGCCATCTATCTCATTGTATTCCCAGGAGCTACTGAGAACACTCTCCTGAGCTCTCCACCCAGTAGAGGGCAACAAAGGTACATGTAGATGGTAAGAGTGAGCCTTGACAAGAGACTCATGACCAACAAGGGGCAGCATCCCTATCTGTGTTGTGTTGACTCCATCTATCTGTGCTCTGCTCCGTCCACCCATCTCATTCTCAATTCTCACTTAACATATAAGGTCACATTTGAACTTGATATTTGATAAGTGATGCATTAGATCACTAGAGAGAATTAATTTAATTAAATGTCTTTAAACAAATATCTCTAAGAAATCATTTGAGTATTTTAAATCGTAGTTTACACTAAAACAAAATATTAGAGATGGACTAAAGAGTGAAACAGTTATTCTATTATTAAACAATAGAAGAAAATAAAGTAGGATATTTATCAAACCCTAGCATGAATAAGGTCTGTTTAATATTAGAAGTGAGGAAAATATCAACAGAGTTGACTATATAAAAACTAAAACTTCTGTCACCAAAAAATCAGGATAAACAAAAAATAATCTGCATAGTAGAGAAAAGAGTCACAGCTATGTAATAAAGTGTTTGTATAAAGAACTCACATAAATTAATACAAAAAGCATATTGTGTCCTAATTACATAAGTAAAAAACACTAACAGAGGTATTATGAATGAAAAAATTAAATTAGAATAGGAAATTAAGTTAGAAAACAGGCATTTAATAAAATGTATAACTCACTAATGATCAAAGTAATGAGGTATCATTTCTTTTAGTCAATTAACAACAAAAAACATTTTTAATGGTAATATCCTAAGCTGGTAAGAGTAGTTATGGTAGGCTCTTTGATACACACACTGACATACTACTGGGTAACAATATAACAAACTGCAATTTGGAAATATACATCAAGAACTTAAAAAATGTTCATAGTTTTTGGTCCAGTAATTTTACTTCTCAGAATATGTCATATAATAATTTGGCATTAAGCTATATGATGCCTAAGGATATTTGTTACAGATTTAAAAATAATATTTTAAAAATGGAAATAACCCAAAAGTTCAACAAAATGGAAATGGTTACATCTATTTTGGCTGTATCCATTTAATGGACTGACACATACACATTTAAAACAATGATTGCAAAAACTAGAAAAAGACTAAAATAGGGGAATAAAATTTCTATTTAAAGTATGTTTTCACTATGTTTAAAAATAAGCAAAGACATTATTAGGATGGAGGATTGTTTTGTTTTCTGTAGTTTCCAAAGTGTTTATATTACTAATTTTAATGAATGCACACACAGGTGTGTGAATATATATGTGTGTATACACACACACACACACACACAGACACACACACACACACACACACACACACATATATATATATATATATATATATATATATATATATATGATGAGTATATATATATGTGATGATAAGGTTGTTTTGTCACATATAGCCCAGGTAATAGGGCATAGGAGTGGATTCTAGACACCATGCACATCTTTGGAGGTAAGATTGCCAATCAGGGTCTTTCCTGCACCCTTCACAGAGGAGTTGTCTCCTAAAGCCAAACTCTGGAGATTTCATGTAATCTCTAAGATGTAATCAACCTGATGAAAAATAGTGTCTTCAGGGAAAATAAACTACATATGGACTGTGTTTGTTTAATATCAGGTTCTTGGGAATAACCACCTTTCAAACTAGACAGAAGGTCTTAGTGATACCTGTGATGCAGGGTCCTAGGACTTATTTCCCTCTTTGGTGCTTTCAACTCCCTGGTGTACTTTAGGGATGGGGAGCTGACAATCAGATGTGGTAGCTAAGATCACCCTAAAATCAAGGCAGAAGCTATGAGGGTACAAGTCCCTAAGTATGTAAAGGACCATCTTCTGGGAAGAGGTTATGGAGGGATTCTGAGACAGAGACTCTTGGCCACCTTTTCCACTTAAGCTTTTTGCTTGGGCTCCTATAATTTATATTTCAAATATACTCCACACTCCTTGCCTCTTGTCTTCTTCTGTTCTCATTCCCTTTCTTCCTCCTTCCTTCATCACTCTGGCTCTTTTGCTCTTTCTTCTTATTATTATAAAAATATTTATTTAGTGCCTACTCTATGCTGGTAGTGTCAGGCTTTGCCTCCCCCCACACAGATAGTTTAATAGGAGAGCAAATCAGGAATTACAGTACAGTGAAAGAAATGCAATGCTGAAGATAAGTGAGGCCACTGGGGAACACAGAGGAGGAAGAACCAACCCAGTTGGGGGAGAGATAACCAGAAAGGGTTCCTGCGAGATGACATCTTAACTGTCCTGAAGGATAGGTATCAGACATGTGAGGAGATGCAGATAAGGGAGGCCCAGGCAAATGGACAATGTATCTCTTATTGTCTGACTAATCCAAGGCAAGTGTGTGTGTGTTTGCGTGTGTGTGTGTGTGTGTGTGTGTGTGTGTGTGTGTGTGTGTGTAAAATATACCAAATGGCTTAATGTTGGAGGAGGGGAGAGGAAGGAAGAAATGGGAGAAAAAGGAGGAACATACATAAAAAATAAGGGACAAGGTAGTAAAGAAGAAACCAAAATAAGCCAAGAGAGAGGAGTCAGTTAGAATGGAATGAAATGTCCTGGCTTAATGGTTTAGTGTAGAAATCAAGAAAAATATTTTAAAAAATAAAAATAATTGGATGCAATGATATGAGTCAACATCCTTGGAAAACTCAAGGGAAAGATTCTTGACAAGTTGACTCTTGGAGCTTTCTCTATGCCTGGTCCTGTGCTCAGATACGAGAAAATTGGAGTAACATTGTTGTGCCATCATTGAACTCACAATCCTATTGAAGTGTGGTTACCCATAAGGAATATGTTAAATATTGCAAATATCAGGGCAGAAAATGATCGAGGTAGATTGAAATAGAAAAATCTTCCTGGAAGAGGTGAGTATTGGGAGAGTAGGTCTCAGAAGTGGACTCTGCTGAGGTGGTGTGAGTCTTGCTTAGATCCAGTATGAGTGTGCTGTGTGGGATCTGTCTCTCATGGCTAGTCTGATTTCAGGGATCAGGATGCTGTTGCTGTCAGCTGTTCTACTGTTACTAGTCCTGCTCAGTCATGGTCAAGATACCCCGACCGAAAAACCTGGAGTTCTACTTCCCCTTCCTAAGGGGGTCTGCACTGGTTGGATGGCAGGCATCCCAGGGCATCCTGGCCACAATGGAGTCCCAGGACGTGATGGCAGAGATGGTACTCCTGGTGAGAAGGGTGAAAAAGGAGATGCGGGTAAGAACAAGTTTTTTGGTCTTCTCTATCTCAAGTCTAGACATAGGAAAGAAGCAAAGTTTTATTATTATTATTATTATTATTATTATTATGTAACTCATAAACAACCTAAAGTGGATTTTGGGCTGACCTCCAGCGGTGACAATAGGAGCTCTCTAGGAGCAGGACTGTGACTGCAGAAGGTGAACACTAAATGTGGTTGAATGTCATTGCATGGAATGGAAATTAAGGGCAAATGAATAGAAATAGGAATATGAACAGATTGGGACTAGGGATGTGAAAAATCAAGTATCCTTGATTCTGCTCTATCTGTATCTTCTTCTCTGTCCTCTTTCCCATCCCCACCCTCATCCATCCCTAGTCCCAATCTGTTCATAGTCCTATTTCTATTCATTTGCCCTTAATTTCCATTCCATGCAGTGACATTCAACCACAGTTAGTGTTCACCTCCTGCAGTCACAGTCCTGCTCCTAGAGAGCTCCTGGTCTAGTTAAGAAGAGACGCCTAATGCACAAGGCTGTGAAAAGTTACTATTGGGAAATCCACTCCAAATATGCCAAATTGAATGTGAACAAATTCTAAATTATGGAACAGAGAAAAGGTGCCCTTAGAGCAAACTTAGATTAACAGTGAAGCTTTAAGGAGGAGGAAGGGTTTAAGCTAGGTCTTGAAAGAATGAGTGGACAGAGTAAAGAAGGGAGGGCATCCTACTCAAAGGGATAGAAGAGCAAAAGTATGGTTGGTGGAGACAGTACATAGTTGACAGGTCAATGATGGAGACTTATAGGACATAATGTTGGAAAGAATTAATGGAAGCCTGATGGGGAGGATGTGGAAATAGGTGGTATAACCTTCCCCTTTGGTTCTTTGCTCTGTAAGTGAAGCAAGTTATATATAGGGGCCACAGGGACAGTGTTTTAGGTTGGAATCAACTTAGGCAGGGGTTCTATTTCTTGTGGTCACTGAGGTCTTTTCATTCTTTAGGTCTTGCTGGTCCTAAGGGTGACTCTGGTGAAACTGGAGTGACTGGGGTTGAAGGTCCCCGAGGCTTTCCAGGAGTCCAAGGCAGGAAAGGAGAACCTGGAGAAAGTGCCCATGTGTACCGCTCAGCGTTCAGTGTGGGACTGGAGACACGGGTCACTGTTCCCAATGTTCCCATTCGCTTTACCAAAATCTTCTACAATCAGCAAAACCACTATGATGACACCACTGGCAAATTCCACTGCAACATTCCTGGGCTCTACTACTTCTCCTACCACATTACAGTCTACCTGAAAGATGTGAAGGTCAGCCTCTACAAGAAGGACAAGGCTGTGCTCTTTACCTATGACCAATACCAGGACAAGGACTTGGACCAAGCCTCTGGCTCTGTGCTCCTCCATCTGGATGTGGGTGACCATGTCTGGCTCCAGGTGTATGGGGAAGGGGAGAATAATGGGATCTATGCAGACAATGACAATGACTCCACCTTCACAGGTTTCCTTCTTTACCATGACACCAATTAATGACCACTTAACTAGAGCCTCCACGGGGCCAAATAACCCAGAAGTCAAAGAATAGCCCAAAGGTTTTCAGTGTAGTTAGGAGACTGATATTATTATTTAGTTGGAGAGTTCTGAACATTATTCATGCATTTACTCATTCATTCACCAAGTGCCTTTTAAAAAAAGTTATATAGTTTCTTCTCCATCCTAAAGGAGAAATGTTCCCTGGCTGCAAGGATCTGGTACATAAAGTCAATAGAAGGATAATAGCATTTACTGAGGAACTTAACATACATGACAAGATAACTGACACAGGAAAATATTTGACAGTGCTGTTTTGTGCCCACAGTTTCTCCTCAAGTTCATGCCAATCCTCTGAGGTACACAGAAAATATATTATTCTGCTCTTTTTACGTTTGGGGTGCTGAGATCTGCAGAGTTAAGTGAATGCCTAATGTCATCCAGGTATAAAGTGGTAGAGCTAGAAATCACACTCAGAGATATGAACTTTTTCTATTATACTATGTCCTTTTTTTGAAGTACTCGCCCTCCTTAGAATGTTGATAAGGAGCATCTCTCATCCATCTTAGCTGAGGGCCTTAACTCATCACGAGTTAAGTTTTTTTTTTTTTTCCCCAGGAGAGGTCCCTCAGAACAAGTGGTTCTATAACCAGGTCCTATTTCAGCTGGACAACTCAATGGCCTCTGCACTTCTCTTTCCTCGTGCTCTTCTCTCTAATCCAGAAAGCTACCTCCATTTTCACATGCTGAAGTTTTCCTTGGTTCTCAAAGCCACCTGGTCAGGAAGCTCCTCTGATATGACACTCTTCCCTGCAAACCTTTCTCACATACTGCACCCCTGTGTTTCTTCATGTGTGATTCTGGATGAGAGCCTTGGGCATGGAAGATATAATAGCTCAGATCAAGGACATCTTCCCAGAAGTACCACATTTTCTACATGTCTGAGTCCCCTTGCAGGACCTTGATCAATGTCTCACAAAGACCACATCAATTCAGAATTAACTCCATTTCAGCCTCTTCATGTAACTAATTCTTATCAACAACAACATTGTTGACTGTGCTTTCCAGAACACTTGAAGAATTTTTCCTTGAGGAGATAGTTTGAGCCTGTAATGCAAAAACCCATGAAGGAATTTGAAAACCATTCTTTCCTTGAGTAACAACTGGTTTTGGGAAGACTTGCCCTTCTGAGTCTATTCTTGTTTTTTAAGAATTATTAAAAAAAATCCCCACACACAAAAATTCCCAAAACTATTGGAGGTGATATGGTAATTATCTTTATTTCAGTGATTATTTTACAATGTATATCAAATTATACCCTTTAAATATATAAAATTTCTAATTATAAAATATTCCTCAAAAAGAAAAAAAAATAACTAGAAGTGGTTGATAGTGGTAAATATCTTCTCAGGATGTTCTTCAAATGTTTTAGCAAAAGCAGAATTAATAGCATTCTGAATAAACATAGAAATGTAAAATCATTCTTTTGCTTACAGTTTTAAATTCTGAATGATTCCCTTTTAAATATGCATTGATATTCATTCAGTGATTATTTCTACATATCAAACTTTGTCTTTTTGAATGCTTTTATATTATTATTTTCTAAAGATAAATGTATCATTCAGCATTAAAGGTAGAAACATTTGCATCACATGGCTTTTGTTTTTATTTTTGGAGTAAGACATGAGGTTCAGAGATGAATGAAGGGGTAAACTCAACTCAGATTAATAGGCAAAAAAGAAAAATGTTCCTTGCATAATGGGAAATATCAGAGCTGTTCTGTCAGAGGCTCAAATGATGTCATTAAAGGCCCTTTTTTTCTGTCTTTTTTTCCACTTTGTCTTAAATAGCACAGGCTTCAACCTCAGGCTCTACACAATATAATTCTAGATTCTCCCTCATGATATAAAAAAGATTGTAGCCTGCCAGCTGTCATACACTCTCACCACATAATTTAGCCAAAGGGACAACTTCTTTTTTCTGGTGGTTCCCAGGAGGAGAGAGGAAGTGTTCTCCCCTGGAAGCCCCAGCAAATATGTTCTTGAATCTCATTGGCTCTGACTGGGCTATATGTCCATCCTTGACCAATCACTGGAGTCAGGAGGATGGACTACGCTTATTTAAAAATATATATATATATTTTTATATATATATTTTTAAATATATATATATTTACTTATTTCAGACAGGAAGGGAGAGGGAGAGATAGAAACATCAATGATGAGGGAAGATGATCAATAGGCTATCTCCTGCACACTCCATACTGGGGATCAAGCCCACAACTTTGTCTGTGCCCTGACTGGGAATCAAACTGTACCTACCTCCTGGTTCACAGGTCAACACTTAACCACTGAGTACACCAGCTGGGCTGGACTGTTCTTGTTGGTTTAAGTTGATCATGACTCAATCTGGAGAAGGGGTATTTTCCCTAAAGCAAAATCTGAATACAGTTACCAGAAGTGGAAGAACAGATGATGAATGTAAAAACATTTGTTTACAATAAACTGTTAATGTTATGTTTCAGTTTTCTCAGAGAGATGTTGCTGGAGAATTACTATTGATTTTCTCTAAAATTTCATCAAGGAACTAATGTCTGACCATGCTTACAGTTCTGCATCTGGCTATGGTGGGATTCTCACAGCACCGAACATGATGTCACACTCTTCTACACTCCCTGGAGGAGGAGGATCATTGTGTGTGTGTGTGTGTGTGTGTGTGTGTGTGTGTGTGTGTGTGTGTGTAAACAGAGAGGGTCAATTTTTATAACACCTTCTGAGAGAAATTGTGGGCAAGAATTTTGGATTAATGGTCCCATGATGTTCAAGTCTAATTGTGGATTTTTTTTATTTCTCTTCAGTTCTGTCAGCTTTTGCTTTATGTATTTTGGAACTGTCTTGTTAGATACATACACATTTAGTCTTATATCTTGGTGAATTTACCCTTTGTCATTATATAATGTCTGTCTTTATCTCTGATAATTTTCCCTTTTCTGAAATCTACTTTATTTGAAATTAATATAGGCACTTGACTTTCTTTTAATTATTATTTGCATAGCATGTCTTTCCCCATCACATTAGTTTAAATCTATTTATATTATTATATTTAAAATAAGTTTCCTTATAGACTGCATGTGATTAGGTCTTATTTTTTTATTCCATCTGAAAATCTCTTTCACTTAATTGGTTTATATTATTTTATATGTTTTCTATTTATTTTCTGTGTTTCACTTTATTTCCTGGCTTCTTTTGGATTATTTGAATATTTCACAGTATTTCATCTTAATGTAGTTGTATGCTTTTTAGTTATATTTAAAAAAATATATATTTTATTGATTTTTTACAGAGAGGAAGAGAGAGGGATAGAGAGTTAGAAACATCAATGAGAGAGAATTATCGACCAGCTACCTCTTGCACACCCCTTGCTGGGGATGTGCCCGCAAACAAGGTACATGCCCTTGACTGGGATCGAACCTGGGACCTTTCAGTCTGCAGGCCGATGCTCTATCCACTGAGCCAAACCGGTTCGGCTAGTTGTATTTTTTAATAGTTGCTCTCAGGATAATAATGTATACCTAACTTTTCATAGTCTACATAGCACTAATATTTTACCACTTCAGGTAAAATATAGATGTCTATAACCACATAGGTTCTTTATCTACTTCTTTTATATTATGAAAACAGAGCCTAAGCGGTTAGTTGGACATCCTTAGCGCTGCTGTGAAGGCAGGACAGGCTCCTGCCACTGCCGCTGCATTTGCCAGCATGAACTGGCTTCTAGCTAAGCAGCACCCCACCTTTGGAAGTGCACTGATCACCAGGGGGCAGTTCCTGTGTTGAATGTCTGCCTCCTGGTGGAACCTGTGCATCATAGTGAACAGTCATTCCTGGTTGTTCAGCCGTTAGGGTCAATTTGCATATTACCCTTTTATTATATAGGATTATATATAGATACATTGAAGCATTACAAACACTGTTATAATTTTGGCTTCCAACAGTCATATGTATTTTAAAGAATTTAAGAATACAAAACATTCTGTTTATTCAGATAGTCATCATTTTTCTTGTGTGTGTGTGTGTGTGTGTGTGTGTGTGTGTGTGTTTTAAACATATTTCTTATTGATTTTTAGAGGAAGAGGATGGGAGAGAGAAACATCAATTAAAGAGAAACATCGATCAATTGTCTCCTGCATGTCCACTTGATGGGGATTGAGACTGCAACCTGCATGTACCCTGACCAGAATCAAACCAGTGCATGGGTCAACACAACAACTGAGCCATACCAGTTGTGCTCTTGTTCTTTTTTTATTCCTTAAGTTCTACATTTCCCTCTGATATAATTTCACCTCATCCTCAAAAACTTTCTTTTTTTTTGCTGGTGATACTTTTTCTTAACTTCCTTTCATCTGAAAATGTTTTTATTTTCCCTATATTCCTGAATGATATTTTTGCTAGATATAGAATTCTGAGTTGACAGTTCTTTTCTTTCAGTTATCTATCTATCTATCTATCTATCTATCTATCTATCTATCTATCTATCTATCTATCTATCTATCTTCTATTTCCCCACACTTTGAAGATATTCTTTCACTGTCTTCTGGTCTCCATGGTTTCATGGTTTTTGACAAGAAGTCTGCAGTCAGTTTCCCTTATGTATAATTTATTTTTCTTCCGACTGCTTTCAAGATGTTTTATTTACCTTTGGTGTGATTATGATATGTCTGGGTATGTTTTTTTTTTTTTTTTTTTTTTTTTTTTAGCTTAATCTGATTGGGATTTATTGAATTTCTTGAATCTGTAAACATATGTCTTCTATCAAATTTGGAAAGTTTTCTGACATTTCTTCTTCAAATATATTTTCTGTTTTTTTTTTTTTAACTCTTCTTTAAAATTTATAATGTAACATGCAATAAACATTAATAGTTAAAGAAAAATTATTTTAAATGTAATAATGTTACATGCAATACACATTGATATTTTAAGAAAAATGATTTTAACTATAAT